GCACCCAATAGGGAAGTGCTTCCATGCCTCTACCACTGGGAATGCAGAGGATGGGTCCCCTCAGACCTCGGGAAGTGGTAGGCTGCTGGGCATCCACTCAGGTCTTTGCCATGTCACCAGAGAGCGTGTCTGCCTTGCATGCCCAGCCTTGCTGTCCCATGCAGCATCATCTTGCTGCTCTGCTGCCTCCTCTGCTTGGCTCCACGTGGCCTTTTCAGCCCTGGGAGTGCCACCTCTCTGGCAGGAACAGCTCCTGCCTTTGACTGGAGGGCAGCAGGGGCTCCAGCAGTGCAGGGAAGCAGCAGGAGAGCAAGGCTGCAGGGCTGTGGCAGTTGTACAGATGAGGACAGACACAGCTGGGAACAAAGCTTGCAGTCACCAGTAGCCAGACCCAGCAGAGGATCTCAGCACTGGCCTTGCCTAACATGCTGGTCCCTTCATTCACTTCCTTTTGCAGAGTGCTGCTGGCTTTAATGAGATGGCAGCTCCCACCTCCTCCTACGAGAAAACAAGACCACTGGAGGCAGGTGAGACAACCGAGTACCCGCCCTGGGCTTGGCGAGAAGCTGTGGGCCTCGTGGTCCCTCTGTGACAGCTCACTGGCAGGCATGTGCTGTGGTGGGATGTGGATTTAACCTGGAGGCGCAGGAGAAGGTGGCTGAACGGAAAATTTCTCTGGGAATTTCTCTGAGTTTCTCCTAGATGCTTGTTGTGGTGGAAAGGAGCCACTGGGCAGGCTCGATCAGCTGTCTTCTCCACAGGAGCTTCCAGTGGCGCCAGCAGCCTGCGGTCACGATTTGAGAACATGGCTAAGTCAGCAGAGGAGGAGAGCAGAAGGCAGGCAGAGGAGGACCGAGTGAGGCGGCAGGCTCGGGAGTACCAGGTAGCTCGGCGGAAGGTGAGTCGTGGCCATCCTGCCATGTCCTCTAAGGCTTGTGAAGCAGACTTTTCCTCAGGGCCATGCAGCAAAATATCCTTCTACTTGATATCTTTACAGTAACCTCTTACCTTAACTCTTCTTTCCCTGCAACTGCCAGCGACTGCCATTGAACTTCACATCTGTCACTGGATTTTCCCCTTCCAGCACACAGATCAGGACGTGCCTGCACCCAGCCATGACCCTCTGTGCTTTGACCAGGGCTCCTTGTTGCCTCTAATGCCTGGCAAACAGTCACACCTCCCCAGTGCCACGTCCCAGCAGTCTGCATTCGGAGTTTTCCAAACGAGATTACACCCAAACCCTCGTGATTACAAGAACTTCTACATTGTGCTGTTTCTGCATTCAATGTGCAGATGAGGTGTCACCAACAAAGCACTTCCTGATACGTTCCCTCCTTGGGGCTCCTCTCTGCAGACCCCACAGTCATCCCAGGCCTGCCTCCCTAGGGCAGGTTTATGTGAGCTGGAACAGATTTTGGCTGAAGGAAAATTTTCTGAGTTGCTTTGTTAGGAATGGGAATGGACATTGCTCTGGACCTCATTCAAAGGGATTGAGGGGATCTGATGACTTTTCTCCTGCAGGAAATCCCACAGAGGGAGAAGGACCACACAGAGGCAGCCCCTGCCACCGTGCCAGCAAGGGTGCCCGGGAGCGCTGACCGAGACCAGCCTGTGTCACCAGGAGAACAGGTGCCGAGGGGGCTGGGAGAGCCAGGAAGGGGAGCAGGCAGAAGGGATTCATGGGCAGCCTTGCCAGAGCAAGTGGGGTGCAGCCACAGCGTGAGAGAGGCTTTGGAAGGAGTGAGGGGAGAAATGTTGGGATGGTGATGGGACAGCTGCACAGCACCTTACAGCGTGAGATGGGCTCTTGGAGTGGGTCAGTGCAGTGGCAATACAGTGAGCTATAGCTGAGTATGTGAGAGAGGTTCAGATACTTGAGCCATGAGGGTCTTCACAGCGATCCCAGGGGCCAGTTGAGCAGAGCTAAGGGCTGAGCTCTTTCCCCGTTGTGCAGCGGATGATGCTCCCTTGGTGTCATGGTAACACTAACGGCACCTGCAGTGGAGTGGGCTCCCTTGTGTTGGGTGCTGTGCAGTCATGGGAGAGCTCCCTGCAGTGGATGCTTTGCAGGTGACTTTCTTGTCACTTTCACTTCATGGCAGGAGGCAAAAAAGGAGGATGAGGAAACACCACCCACTTTGCCACCAAGGCCAGCAAATCTAGGTGAGGAGCTGTGCAAGATCCCCAGCCAGGATCAGCCCATCTACAGTGAAAGTTTAGATATTGGTGGAGACTATGAAGAGCTGCCAGAGCCCTCTGACTACTGTGACAGTACCAGTGGAGGTGCTGACTATGAGGAGCTGCCAGCACCCTTAGGAAAGCTGGATCCCATCTATGACCATGGAGGAGATGGAGGTGAGGACTATGAGGTGATCCTTCCTGAGGAGCCCAGCCAGAGCCAGCCCCACCCAGGTGAGTACTGATGGAAGAGCCCATGTCTTGGGGAGCTTGTATCTGCCCACTCACCTCACTAGATGTATGGGACAGACCCCAGAGGGAATTTGTATCCTGGAGTCTCCTGTGGTCAGTGTAGCAGCCCATGATGATGGTGACTTGGTCATCTCCCACTCCTTTGCCCGGCTCCAAGGTGTGAGATCAACTGCATAGGATGGTGGGCCACACAGCAAGTCCTGGAGCAGGACTCGGACAGGGGGACCCGAGGGCAGCTGTGGGCTCTGAAGAAGCTGGACCTGGGCTAATGCTCTTGGTTCACTGTTTCCTGGCAAGCGACTGCCAGTGCTGCACTGAGGCCTGGGGCTGCCCTTTTAGTTCAGCCTGTCGCTCAAACGGCTGGTGCTTGTGAGACCTGATCTGGTGGTGTCTCCTGGGTGTGAGGAGTGCAAGGTAGTCTTCCTCCAAGCACATAAGCAAACTGCATGGGCTGCTGTTGATGTTTCTGTTGCAGCTTCGCTGGTACTGAAAATGGTACTTGGATAGGCTGGAGAGGGAGAGAAGGGAGAGGAGAGGAACATGAGGTATCAGGACCCTGCCTCTCTCCTTGCAGAAGGAGAGGGAAGTCTTACCTTGCTGTGAGTAAGGTGCACACCTCTCCCTGTTGACAGGGTTTGGATGTGGTTCACCCCAAGGCTGACAGCTGGGCGGAGGGTGGCACTGACCAGATCTATTCAGCTGCTTCCAGCCTCTTTCTCATCTGCCCGTCCTGTCTTCTGCAGGGGAAAGTGACAATGTGTATGAGGTGGAGAGCGCTGGGACCTGTGCAGTGGCTCTCTACGATTACCAAGGAGGTAGGTCTGCCATGCAGGCTGTGGGGGAGGCACTGGGAGCTCTACCCAGGCTGGTGCAATGGGGAGGTGGTGATGGCTTACACCATCAGCAGTGGTAAAAAGATTTTGACTTGGGTTAAATTTCTTCCTCTTGGAAAGCAGAATGAGACCTGACTTGGGAACACAGAAACTTCATCTTTTATCTGTGAAGTTTTGCTCCTTCTCTGCTGTGTCTTTGCTGTTTGATGGGGGATTGGATGAGATGAACTTATCAGAATGCTCGTTCTGTATTCTCCTGGGCAGGGTGGGAGGAGGATGTAAAACCAGATCTCTGGGGTTATCTTTGCATTGTGACTCTCTTTTCTGAACAATTTTTGCAGATGGAGATGATGAGATTTCTTTTGATCCTGACGACACAATCACACAGATCGAGATGGTAGATGAAGGCTGGTGGCGGGGGCAGTGCCGAGGCAAAATAGGCCTCTTTCCAGCAAATTATGTGAAGCTTCTGCAGTGAAACCAGCATTGTCCAAGCTGCTTCCTTCCAAACTTTTACTTCTCTCTGCTTCAGCCTTTTACGTGTTATTAGCTTAATTTGGCTCAGCCTGGCGTCTCTACGTGCAAGAAATACCAGGGAAAGACCTGGCAGTGTCTGAGGAAATGTTTTGGCCTGTGCCCAAGAGGACTTTGGTTCCCATCCACTTCCAGATGGGAAAGATGGGATGGTTTAAGAGCATGTGAGTGTGATATAAAACATCTTTTCTGCCCAGGCTGCCCCACATGTCAACCACCTTACAGGAGAAGTGTGTCCATTCCTGTTCCCAACAGGGCAATTTGCAGAAGAGTCACCAGCCCTAATCCAGTCAGGGCAGAACAGGCGTGAGCTGTGGGACCTTTGTAAGTTGCTGTGGCCCTGGACCCCATCCAGAGCACTGTGAATGCCAAACTTGCCTTTGTTCCTGAGGAGGGATTCCATTTGCAGCATGGGGTGGAGGAAGGTGAACCTTGTCTATCAGGAGATTTCAGGGCTGGGGCCTGGAAACATTTGAGCATCACAGTGATCACTGCTGACTTCTGCACACAGACACAAGCTTGGTTGCAGTGTTCTCTGTTTCATTAAACAAGAGAAGTGTGTGCTGGCTGAATGAAAATGTAGGATGGTCTTGCTAAGGTAGGAGATTACACACTTGGTTTTCCTCCATGTGCCAAGTATGGTGCTGGGACATGTGTCATTTCTGGAGTAAAGCTTGAAAAAGGAAGTGTAAAAGTTAGATTATTTTCTGAGAAAAATTAATCTGGAAAATCTGTCTTGGAGCAGGAGAAAAGTACTAAAAGACTTCACTTAACAAAGAGTATGTTAACAACTATTTTGGTCCTCATTCCGGCCCATCAGAGGAATGTTCTGCTGGGGAAATCCTTTTGATCCAGCAAATGAATCAGAGTAAGTGCTGCTTGATACAGTGTGTTGGGTTCAGCCTGGCTGGCAACCCAACACCGACCAGCCGCTCGCTCACCCTCCCCAGTGGGACGGGGAGAGAATCAGAAGGGTAAAGCTGAGAAGGCTCGTGGGTTGAGATAAAAACAGTTTAATAATTGAAATAATAATGGTAATAACAGTAATAATAGGTTATGCAAATGAGTGATGCACGGTGTATTTGCTCACCACCCACTGACTGATGCTCAGCCTGTCCCCAGCCGGTGATCCCGGAGCAGAGACAGTCCTGAAGCCACAGTCCCAGAAGACTGAGCCTGAACGATTAGAGACTCCCCGGCTTTCTAGTCAGTCTTCATTAATATGCTGATCATGAGGTTACATGACATGCAATATCTCATTGGCATATCAAATGCCAGTTCTGAGTTTTGCTAATCATTACGCTTCCCCCCTTCCAGTCCTTTGCACTGAAGCCAAGACACAGCCCTCTTCTAACTACTAAGAAGAGAATTAACTGTGTCCTAGCGAAACCAGGACATACAAGCAGTAGAGTATTTTTGAGAGCTCCATTTTCCCTGTTAACTGCTGTGACGGTATAAATGAGCATAGGGAAGGGCAGTCCCACAGCTTCTCCTAGGCTGAGGGCTCCAGTGTGCTTAGCGCTCAGTGCTGAAGGTGGGTTCCCCCATCCAGTGTTTGCCCCAGCTGTTCTCTCTGCTGTTGGGTCGTTTGGGTCCCTGTGCTGGGGTAGTGAAATGGTTAACACCTCATAGGCTTTTGCAGGACTCACTAGTTCAGAAATATTTGCAGGTGATAGTCTCACCAGTTTAATTAACACAGGAGTACATTATTTGTTGAAGGGTGTGCTGGGCTAGAGCCTCCTTATCTGAGCACTGCTGCTGTTATTTACATATCCTGCTTATCTGACACAGTTTGGCCAAGAATTGAGTTGCATCACCTGAAGGTGGAAACACTCTGTGGTTTGGGCAGAGCTCAGAGTTCAGTGTCTGTCACTCTGCTGCGCTGTGCTCACCCCTCCTCGCTGTAGTAATAAACTGCTCTGCTCTGGCCTGACTAAAGTGGCATCGCGGTTATTCTGTGGCAGCACATGTCTCCTGTGTCTGCTGTAGGCTGGGTTCCTTGCACAGGGAAAAGGGCCCCCGATTCCAGCCCTCCTTCATCACGGGTGTGGGGAAGAGGTTGAGCAGGTGGGAAGCAGGACAAGAGGAAAATGTTTATTTTTAATGTATAAAGCAGTTTTCAGTGATAATCCAATGCAAACTGAAGCATTGGACTCCCTTGAACCAGAATATTTCAGGTGAGATGCTCAACCCACCACTGCAGGGGTTGGTGGTTGTTCCTTGGTGACGTGCAGGTACCATCACAACAGGAATGAATCGGGGACACGCCGAGGGGCACAGCATGTGAGACGCTGCAGGACACAGCGTGTGTGACACCCGTGGAGTTCAGTGCAGCTCACAGGCTGGTTCTGGACCGTTCTGCACGTGGGGACTGTGCTGCCTGGGAGGTACCACAGCATCCCTGCCCAATGTGATATCACAGCCTGTGTCTGTCAGTCAGGGAAGCCTGTGATTCAGGGTAGAAACCAGCGATTTGAATGTCAGTTTCTGGAGATTGTTTTGTTTGGGTTTTTGGTTGGTTGGTTGGTTTTGTTGGGGTTTGTTTGTTTTGTGGGTTGGTTTGTTTGGTTTTTACTTCTGAAATAACTTTCCCAATATTTTTTCCTCATGCAGTTCACCCTTTATTTCCTGATGTTCCTTTCCAGGAGGGTCTCCAGAATGGGCCTCGTGGCAGACTCTTTAATGTGTCCCAGTGAGACACTGAACTGGGGTTATTTCAATAATTTTTTACAATCAAGAAGCGTGCATAGCAAGTAGAACTTGCCAAGAGGCTTGCAGCCTGTTTGGGTCGGAGCAACAGGCCCTCCCAACACATGGGATACAGAAACATTTTTTTCCCTGAAGAATAAAATCAGTGTGTGTTGTGCATTAAGAAGTGACAAACTGCTCCCAACGAGCTGTATGCCTCCTAGGGCCATTTTTTGATTCTCCAGTAGGTTTCTTTGGGAACAGACTGGATTTTGCTGGGTATCTCTTGGTACCTGACCTGTGGATGAGCCTGTTCTGGCCCCTTCCAGCCAACATGCCCCTCTGTGGCACAGCACAGCCTGTGCCAGCTTCCCTCCTGTCACCAGTGAGTGATTTAGATCACTTGAAGAACCACTGTCCGGTATTAGCAAAAGTGGGTTTAATATGAAGTTGTAAAAGTGCGACTTAACAAAGGTCAGTAGCAAGGTTCACTCTGTTACTGTACAGCACAATCATTTGAACAGTGATTCGGAACTACCAAGAGACAAATCAAAGTTACCAGGGCAAAAAGCAGTTGCCATAATACAAGGTCATGTGTGATATCTGTCACTTGCCAAAGATCTGCCATTGTTAAAAGGGCTCTCTGCGTTGAGACCTTTAGAAGTGTCCCAAACCAAGAGGACGTCACCACCATGCAGTCTGGCAGGGAGAGCTCACAGAAGGCTCACTTAAGCTGTCATATTTATGGAATAAAGTGGTTGGCTCATAGTCAAATTACACGCAACAGGAAAGGTACATGAGTCTCCTTGTACCCACACCTTTCTTTGTTCCTTGATAAATAAGTCTTGGCAAAGCCACCGGCTATTCATGGATTGATGCATGATCAGTGTTCCGAGCGCATAGGCACTGATGCGCCTGTGTCACTCTGCTCCTTCATGGGTTTTCAGAGAACAGATTGAAACTAGAGGAGTTCTTGGTCTGGTTACAGCTTAGGGCTTCACCTCCTTTGGAACCTGTACCAAACTACTGCTAGTTTAGTTAAGGGGTCAACTGCATCCCTCACACCTCCTCACGCAGACCCTTGTGCTGGTGGCTGCTCCTGCCATGGCGCTGGACAAAAAAAGGCTGTCATGTACCTGCCTGCAGATGTGTCCAGCACTGCGATTGTCCCAACGCCCATGCAATCATTTGAGCTTGGGCCCAGGTGCAGAGCCCCTGCAAGAAGAGGTGAAGCTGAGGCGGTGGCAGCTGGATGAAGCTGAGGTGGTGGCAGTTGGATGAAGGTGTCTGCCCCACGTCACCAGCCAGCCCTCAGCCACCACCGTCCACAGCCACACCCCTCACAACAACGGCATTACAACGGCATTTTGATTTTTTTACGGCTGTAAAGTAAAGCAAGCACTTCTTTGGATTGAAGCAATGGCAGCTCAGAGCTCATAACGTGCTGTTTGACCAAAGCCCTGAGAATAATGGGCTGGCTGCTGTGCTGCTGTACGAAATGCTGCAGAGCTTCCCTGGCAGCCTGGAGAAACCCAGCAGACACCAGACTAGTGCCAGAGCATGTGTGGAAGGAAGATGGTGCGACAGCCCCTTTGCAGAGACCAGATTTTGCAATCCAAGACACTACCCCTTGTCCCAGGAGCTCACAGCTTTGCTCGGGGCCAGCGCACGTCTGGTACCACATTAAGTTGCCTCTTACAGCATCCCCTGGCAGCAGCACGGCTACAACA